GCAGAGCAGTTTGTTGGTATGGGACTGCACCAGGGTGCCCAGGTGGTCCGAATGTTATAGCTGATCGATGTATATTGCAGTATATTGAATAGTAACTCCTGCATTGTGATATTTCTTGAACTCCAGATTCTTGCCATTACACAGCCCTAAAGATGCTGGTAGGCATATTTTATTTCCTTGGGACAGACCCAGGCTAGCTGTTTCTTCCTGCTTCCAGCGTTTATTTTAAGCTAAGATAATCAGCTGCTGGCTGTGGTATTTATCGTTATGTAACCAAAGGTCTTAGAAAAACCCAATCATTTAAGCAAAAAGGGTGAAAAAATACCATAAATGTGTTATATACAAATAAAAAACCAAGGTTAAACTCGATACATTTACTCAAGATGTCTGAAATGTAACTTTAGCTGGTTAGAATCTTTGGAGGGAAATGAAAACAGAAAGAACACCATCATCTATATCTCCACATCTGGGCTCACTCCCCCTCCCAGGGCTAGGCTGTCTCACTCAGGTGTCTGGCCACTTCAAGTCTGGCTGATCTCCGGAGGGACGATACAGGAGCACCAGCCATTCATTATTCAGGAGTAGACTGGAAAGACAGTCAGCACACCGCCAGGCAGGTAGGCAGGCTGACAGTCCACAAAACCCTGACTGAGTTTTACTGCTCCGTCAGTCAGTCAGTCAGTCAGCCAGTGAGTCGGTAAGCAGAGCAACCAACCATTCAGCTAAGGCAGCCTGCCAGCAAACAGTCAATTCAGGCACACATGAAAGCCGTTTTGTATCAGGTCTATAAAATCAATATTAATATTGTATAATAATATGTATTTACTGACAGCAGTTCTACAGTTTGTGTAAAACGGTTAGGGAACTGTAGACCACCTATAACTTGATGTTTTACAGTGTCACACAGGCAGCTCAGCATCAACATCAATAATCAGCCATGCACACCTGGGAATATCAATGCTAATGTGCCGGGCCATTGCACAAATCCATAGTCTGAAGGATTTTTTAAAACGGTTTCATGCATATTCGAGGCAGCTGATTTACCTGAGAGCAAAGGGCATCAGAAAGTAAAAGGTCATGCATGAGAGAGGCTAGATAGATAGATAGATAGATAGATAGATAGATAGATAGATAGATAGATAGATGATGCTTTGGATTTTAAACAGATGCATTGGACCGTTACCTAAAAGGAATCTTAAAAATTAAGGTGGTGGAGGCACATTAGGGAATAACCTCAGCAGAAGGTATCCGTGTCAGTGGAAGCAAAAATAAGTATTAAGCAGACATTCACGTTTAATTATCTTGTGCCACTTTGATGCTGCTTGCTTGTAAACCTGAATCCGATTTTCCAAGTGCTATTGGAGACTTTTATTCCGGGTTCAAACTGGATTATATCTGCATTTGCATGAGAGTTAATTGACCTTACCGGCACGACACGGTAACTTCTATTTTAGTTGCAGGGACTCTGGTGTTGAGAGGATCGAATTCCCCTATTGATGCCATCATCTCGACTCACGACGCTTCCGAACCTCCGCAAAGAAAGAAAGAAAGAAAGAAAGAAAGATGTGATCATTCACAGCAGGATGATGGTGATCGCAGTAAATCCATTGTCAAGATCTTCTTCAGATTTTTTTCTTTTCTTCACTCGCTCCTGGAGCGGTGAGAAGCGGAGGAGGGAGGGAGGGAGAGGAAAGCGGGGTGAGAGAGAGAGAGAGAGAGAGAGAGAGAGAGAGAGAGAGGCAGTGAAAGTTGGGAGCCGCAGATTTAAAGTTCATTCATCCTTCATGCGTTCACGGTGCGCTCCATGTGTCTGTCCGGTGCTGAGGAGGAGGAGGAAGAGGAAGAGGAGGAGGAGGAGGAGAGCGCAGCCAACCGGAGGCAACACGGTGCTCTCTCTCTCCCCCCATCTCTTTCTCTCTCTCTCCTCCCTCTCACACTTTCTCGGCCTCGAACATTAAAAACATCTTGGTCGTGTCAAGACATCTTTTAACCCCACCACCACCCACCCACGAGCCCCACCACCAACCAGCTAACATGCACAATACACCCCCATCCCCCATACTTGCTCTTCAACTTCTATCCCTTCTTCATCCCTTGCTCCCTCCATCACTCTCCTTCCTTCCCCCAGTGTCTTGCCCCCTCCACCTTACTCACCCACCCCTATCCGTGTGCCTTTCACATGTGTTGCCACTTCTCCCATGAATCCAGCCCCCCTCTCTCTCTCTCTCTCTCTCTCTTCCTTTCTCCCCTCCTGTATCTGTTTTTGTGGCACTGCTAGGGGTGATGGTTAGTTGATTTGGTCTGATTTCTCTTTGATGAAAACACTAGGGGGCACTGCCTGTCCTTTGTTACCCCTCTCTTTCCCTTAGTAGGCTTCGATGCATGTGTATTTTCAGTTGTGTGTGTTTTGTCTCTGTCTGTGTGCCTGTGTGTGTGCTCCTGTTTGTGCTCGTATTTTGTTAAAAAGAAGTCCCTTGTCTGTAATGGATGACACAGATCTGCATTCAGACAGACAGGAAGGCAGGCAGGCAGAAGGTCTCTTGTGGTCACCAGGGCTAGTGCTCTGCACCCGTCCGCACCCCCCTGTCCCTATTTCTACTCCCTGTTTCTGTTTGGTGAACCCAGGGGTGTAGGTTAATGAAAAGGGCTTGGACCACCGAGAGGAGCGACAGTCATCTCCCAGACACCTCTGCTCACCTCCGGCCCTCTGAGACCCTTCTTCATGACAGGCCCCCCTCTCCACTTCTCTCTCCCCACGTCGGCCCTCCTTCCCCGGGGTCACACCACATCGTCTGGCTGCCCTGTGGCCGCCAAACACAGCTCACCCAGCGTGGCATTAGACAAAGGTAGATAAACCAAAAGAGACAGTGTGGAGCATTTCTTAAGTGGATGAGAGTTTTTATGTGTGAGGAAAAAAAGAACACATGAGAGAGCGACTGCCCTCTTTATCCAAAAGGCTAGGGATTTAAACATCAGCCTCATTCGGGTCGGGTCAAGGAAGAGTCGGCCCCAAAATAAAGATTAGCTCCAGACACCAGAGTGTAAAGGAGGAGACAGAGAGAACGCGGACCTTTGTTTCTACTCTGCTGGTCGGGACCTTGTTGTGACGCTTCACTTCATGTGGTCATGCTGGCAGTATTCTAGTTTTCCATACTAAACAGTACTATACAATGAGTGACCATGCTCACTTTTCTCATGTATCTTCAAATCAATTGATGAATGGGATTGTTTTTGAAGGAAACTCTGAATTATTGATTTGTTTTTGAATTTTTTTTTCTTTTTGTGGTAAGCAGACAGCTGATGAGGGGTGTTTGATAGTGCTAATTGGCAGCTCCCGTCCATGCAGTGTGTGGTTGGTGGTGGGTTGGGGCTGGGCGAAGTGAAGCGCTGCTATTGTTTAGAGGTGTCAAACCCAACACAGAACAAAGAGGACGGGAGAAATGTGCTGTGCTCGCCTATCAGTGCTGAAAGCAGCTAAAGTACACACACACACACACACACACACATATAAATATATATATATTATATATATGAATGCGCATGTGTATGTTCATCCACACTCATACACACACACACACACACACACACACACAACAGCACATTACCTGGAGTCCTGTACACCAGCATTCACTCACACTGACATGCACACACACAAACACCTACTAACACACATATGCACACTCTTAGACAAACAGCCTGAAAATGACAAGATAATCACCACATTCAAACTTACCTTCAGCTCTGGGTAAATGCCTTTCTCTGAGATAAACTAATAAATATACTGTTTTCTTTTCAAATGTTCTCCACTGAAGGCCCTAATTACCATACTCTGACAAAGACCTGACAGAGGTGTAATAGTTAAAAAGGTAATTTGACTACAAGTAGGAGTTTGGGTGGGGAAAAGGGTCAGTGTGGTTTCCCCCCACCCCCACCCGCCTCTCTTTTTAATGGTTTATTCACGCTTTTCGAGGACTTTTTGCATGATTGACTGACAAGGTCTTTTTCCGAAATAGCATCTTCAGTAATGAGAAATAATTGACTCCCTAATCAAAAAAAGGGTTCATGGAATCCACAAACCCAACTGTAATCTTCTGTGGCATTTCCAGCAGAATTGACAGTCCTCATAGCTTCAGGCTCTATACCACTTTGATTTAATTGCTTTTTTTTATAAGATTAATAATATACTTTATACTGAATTGTGTGTGTGTGTGTGTGTGTGTGTGTGTGTGTGTGTATGCCCTGTGTGTGTGTGTATGTGTGTTTGTGTGTGTGTATGTGTTCCTCACCTTTCTCTCAGGCTTTGTTTTTAATCAATAATATCACTTGAAAAGCACTTCAACTGGTGTACTCCTTTTTGTGGATTTTACATTTAATTCATTAAGGAAATCACTGTTTGTGATTTCATTATGTACTTAAAAGTATATTGCTATGGTTGTCGGGCAAATTATTTCAATAAACTACAGTATAAAACCTTGCAAAAGAATATTAAAAGTAAATTATTCTTAATTAATTTGTTCTTACGGTTTGTAAAATACAGTAATAATAATAATAGTAATGATATAATAATAATAATACATATATTCAGTATATTCTAATATCCGTGAGCAGTATTACATCCATTTAGATATTATTTTATTACATTTTTGCCTGGTTTTGTCTTTTGCTGGAATAGAACCCAAAGTTGAGTCTTTTCATTTTTGTTTTTAACTTTGGACTGTCTAAGGAATTAAAATTTATATTTAAAGCTAGAAGGCAAATGTTTTTGCTATTAAATCTGGTCTACCGGAACATCGTGATACAATTCAGGTACTTGAAATAGGTTTGTTTTTGTCTTTACCCTGTCTGTGTAATTTGGTAATTGAATTGCTTTGTATTTTCTTATACCCTACATTACTATTATTTTTTATCTTTTATTCTTATGTCTTGATTAATTTAGACATAAAAATAATAATTTTAGTGAGTTTGCCTTAAGAACTGCAAAGTTTTTACATGATGGGGCAAATTAACTTGTAGCTTCCTCCAGCCTGTCCAATTTGTAATATGGCCTCAACCCCTTCTCCCTTTCTTTCTTTTCTGACTCATCTTTCCTCTCGTTAAAAAACTGCTTTAAATCATGGCTAGTGGCAATGAGAAGTTAATTTCAGATTGTTATATATTTCCATTAATTTCAGTTGGCCTTCTGTAGTTTTCCCTCCCTCACTCTCTCTTTCCTTTGAGTACAGGGGGATCACAGAGCCTGTTTTTTTCCTTTTCGGGGCTCTCTCTTTTCCCCTTGCCCCACAGCACAGGAGACGAGCAAATATGAAGGAGTAGAGGATGATAACTGAAGGGAGAAACACTCTCTTTGTCACTTTCATTAGCACTGCCTTATACCTCTCCTCCCCCTTCCTTTTTCCCCTAACTTTTTTTTT